CAGAATTGCTATGTCAAAAAGAATCTCACACACCACAGCAAGTTCCTAGCGACCGTGGAGCCTGCCGCGGTGTATGTGCTTCCTCTCTCAGGCACCGGAGATAGTGGCGCGATGGAACCCGTCATGTCGTCTACGGACTATCAGATGAAGGCATTCACATTCTGGGAGCAGTCTTCGTTTCGTCATTCCACCCCAGATGAGCTCAAGGAATGGTTCAAACAGCTCTTTGTCCCTGCTATGAACGAGCTACCACGATACAAACAGAAGAAATACCGGTACGAGTTCGCGGATCCAGTTGTCAAGGAGGTTCAATACTGGAGTGACATCTTCACCGATGAAGATTGCAAGCAGTTCCTCTCCTGCTCTACCAAGTTGTCTGTTGAAGAGTTGTTGAAGAAGAGCACGATGACACTTTACTCGGTCTGGCCCCGCGGAAGCGTTCCCAACTACATCATCGAAGAATACGGACTTGGCCAAGAGCATCTCGACCCTGTAGATTTCCAGAACTACACCGCTTGGATCCTCGAAGAAGAGGCCAAATTGGCTGCTGTGGCCAGTGACGAAGAGGAAGAAAAGAAAGAGGAAGCGAACTAGACTTCTTCTGAACAGCCTCGCGCAAACAAATCATCCATCCGTTACCCAAAACAACAAAAGGAACTACATCGGGACAAACATACAAAAGGATTCAAATCAAGAAATGGGATTTACTCGATACACGGAATGATACATTCGAAAAATTTAGCAATAACATCGTAACAATTACAACACAAACTTGTCGTCCACTTGCTACTTACAAACTCACGAATTCGTCGTCCTCCTTGTAGCCTCATCCGATAAACGTTCTCTTCCAACACTGATACCATACTCGTTACGGTTACGGTACCCGTAACGGTGCCGGTAATGGTACCGGTACCGGTGCCGTCACTGTTACAGAAACACGGCAACCTGTCATAAGCCAACGAATCTGGAGACGAACGCTGAAAAAAAACCAAATGTGTTGAGGCATCTCCTTTGGTTGGTGGTTGGGGGGGCTACTACGGTAGGGTTAAGGCCACCAGTTCTGGTGAGCCCACCATTGACCCGAAACTTCAGCAATAATGACAAATGGCCCAGGACGAACATTTGCTTCGAAGGGACAGATCAGGGTGCAAAGCTGCTGCTGGTATTCTTGACAATGCCTTCTCTGGAACGGCAGGGTGGCTGCGACCAGTGCCAGGGGATCTTGGAACGAAGGCGGGAGTCAACATAACGAAGTTGACGCCTTTCATTCAAGGAATCATGCTCATTCTTGCCATGGGGGCCCAAGTTTCATGGTAGTTCCGTGGTTATCTGTTTTTCTTTCATCGTCCTGACCATGCCTATCTGCTTCCGAAGCCAGGACCCAATGTAATTTAATGAAATGGTTGTTCACATCATATCTCTTTGACTAAATGACACGATCAAGTACTTGTGCCCGCAACAACGTGCTACCGGTAGTTTTCAACTGCTATTACTGTAATGAAAGCAAAAGTGGTGATTGTCACCTCGTAGCTCAACCAGATAGATTCCGTGGACACTGTCAACCGAAAACCATACAGTCGAACCAAGATGTACCAGATGTAGTGCTCTCCAAACTGTCCCTACTGTTCCATCGTGAGCAATAATATCTTGCATTCCTGGGCTCGCCGCTCCCAAGGAGTTAGACCGTACCGGTACGGTACCGAGATCAGTTCCGTTGAAAATAATTCAATCAAGGTTCATCCTGTATCGAATGTTCCAACCTCCCTCACCTATCATTCGTTCCATGTACGTCATTCACAAAAATCGATCATCGCCCTTATGAGTAGGTTCCAAGTCAAATCCCCAATCCATGGCAAACAATCGTTTTCTCAAATCACGTTCGACGCGTCCATCCCATCGTTTGTTGGGATTATCCTGTCGCTCGACGCAATCGAGTTTGCCGGCCGCATCGACCAATAGCGCCAACAGCGGACTGCAATTGCTGCGCGATTGTGCCGGACTGGTATCGCAGATGCGATCAAACATTTTGGAGACTTGTTCGTGCGAAAATCGATGGTCGCGCAAAACTTGAGCGGCCGTGTCGACCGAATTGAGGAGTTCTACCGGTAGTCCGTCGTCGCCACCTGCTACGGGCACGTAGAGGCATTCTTGAATCCAACGATCAATATCGGCAATTTCTTTTTGGCGTTTGGCTTCTTGTTTGGCTTGTAGATCGGCTTGAATCACTGCGATTTCGGCGCGCAGTTTGGCGGCTTGTTGTTGGAGTGCCAGGGCGGCTGGATTGTCAGTGGTGGCATTGGCTGTACTGGTAGCATTATTTGTGTTGGATACCAGGGCAGATGATAAAGTTTGATTTTTCTGCCGTTGCAGAGAAGCCACCAATTCGGCATTTTCATTATTTTCGGACGACGACGACGTTGCCTGCTGAAGAGAACTCTTGGAGGCAGAGACGATGTTCCATTCTTCCACCGAATGCCGATAACCTCGTTTTCGTCGACCTGAGAATGCGTCGAACCCATCAGAAAAGGAGAAGACGAGTAGCAGCATTACCACTATATAGAGCGGTGAGTGTAGTTGGTTCCAATCTGCTTTCCTCATGGTCGATTGCTCTGCTGTGGAATGTCTTGTGTTGTTATCAATGTGCTGAACAAGGCAGGGACTTCTTCTTGCCGACAAACCGTGTCGTCAACGCTGAGTCAGCCAAGAATCCAAGAATTAGAGGAGGAAGAAAAAGATCGTGAAAACACTCAGTCGTGCAAACAATATCTTTCAAGCCAAAGAGAACACCGATGATGATCTGATGGCATCATCCGCATCAGAACTCTTTCGTCGAACATTCTTCTTTTTTGCTGAAGAGCTTCACAATGATCCGTGTCATTGCTCTCATTATTATCCAAGCTCTACTCCATTTAACTACTACAGCTACAACAACAGCTTTCACCTTTACTACTTTGTCCAGTACTATGTCTACCACTCCCGTCGAAGATACCGAATGGGGCCTCGCTCAGATTCCGTCGCAGCTGCCGAATGACAGAAATCTCGTAGAAGAAGAACAAGAAGAAGAAGCGGTCGAAGTGGCCATTATTGGAGGAGGCTTGGCAGGATTGGCCATGGCCATTGGATTGACTCGGGCCAATATTCCCTGCAAAGTTTTTGAACGAGCGCCCCAGCTGCGAAGCAACAGTCAAGGCATCTTGGCGTTGCAGCCCAATGGCATGCGAGCTTTGGAGAATATCCATCCCGATTTGCCAGACATGATTGTCCAGGCTGGATGCGAACGAGAAGAATTAGTCATCACAACCATTCAGGCGGATGGCAGTCAACAAGACACCATTAAAAAGACGGGTCTGGAAATTATGCAAAAATATGGACGAAAAAAGGTTGGACTGACATGGCATAAAATGCAGCAACTATTGGCGTCGCTACTGCCAGATGGAGTCGTCGTCACCAGTCGATCCTTGGTATCCTTTCAAGACAATGAACATGAAGTTATTTTACACTTGGTGGACAATCATCATCATTCGACCACCAACGGTCCCAAACGAACACGCGTCCGTGCCAAAGTAGCACTCGCATGCGATGGGGTCTTTTCGGCAGCCCGACGACAAATGTTCCCGGACAACAACAACGATGCACCCTTGTACTTTGGACAGCTCAACTGGGCCACTGTCATTGATACCGACAAACTACCTCCCAATGTGCATCCTCCCAGTGCCGTCCACTACTTTGTGCACGAAGGACAGCCCCGATGGATGTCCATGTTGAATGACGGAGGATCCGGACAGACCTTTTGGCAATTCCGTGTCGCCGATCCCGAAATGGCGCTGAGTCTGTCACGCAACAAGGGACGAGGTGGTTTGGGATTGCCAGGTGTCAAGGAAACATTGATACCCGTGGCTCAGTCGTCCTGTCCTCTCGTGGCAGAAGCGATTGCGTGCATTCCCGAGAATCAAATCTTTGAACGATCCATTGTGGGGCGTCGACCGGCAGCAACATGGTTGAGTCAACCCCATGGAAGACTGGCTTTGGTGGGAGATTCTGCTCACGGCATGCATCCCAACATTGCGCAAGGGGCCAACTCGTCCTTTGAGAGTGCCGCGGCAGCCGTAACAGCCATGGCAGAAGAGTATCAAAAGAGTGGCAACAATTTGCAAGAAGTGGACTGGCCAGCGGCATTGCGAACATACCAAGAGCGCCGCAAGCCCAAAGCAGACAAGGTGCAACGGTGGGCAAACATGATGGGATGCTCTCAGGCGACTGGTCTCGTTGACGTGCCCAAAGAAGAAATGGCCAAAATGATGGATTGGATCCTCGGAGGCGACCCTGAAAATCACCCTTCTCAAGAAACCATGGATATCATCTTTGCATTTGATCCTAGTTCTCATCCGGGAGTTTCCGAGATCCTCTAATTGACATGAAATGACGTTGCCGGATTCGGCAATCCTGGGAGCTATCAAAGAGACGAACTTGCGCGTTCTCTCCACCGGTATGACCGTCTTGTAGCGGACGAGGACGTTTCCTTGAGGGCGTGATCGGGTGCAACCTGGTTGTATTACATGCTGTTGAGCAAAAGTAGCACTGGATCCTCAGGTCTTATATAGTATTATTGGTTTATTCTTCCAAGGGCAACAGTCCACTATCTACCAGCCAAGAAAACTGTTGGTCCTGCGAGCCTTGCAGCCCTCAGGCTTAGAGACTCCACACTTGCCAGTTATACCGCAGCCACCCGTTCCACACACACCTCCCTGAGCATTGGCGAAACTGTACCATGTGCAAGAATCACTAGAGCCAAGCTTCTGTGTGATGGTGCAGTCTCCACAATTGGTTTGGGCTCCGCAACGTGCCTCATTGGCCTCTTCTGTGCGATACATCCAACAGATTTGCTCCTCATCCATCTCAGGAAAGGTCGACTCGCTGTAGCAGGCAGCATCAGCAATCGCATCACAGGATACCTCACAGGATCCTCCAATCCAAGCACAACTATTGTCATTCTCCAAACAGTCACTGCAATGTGTCATTTGGCTACAGGGCAGATTCTCTCGATTCTGGTTGATGGCATTGCTGCTACAAGTCGTTTCACCACAGTTTCCAAAGGCATCACAGCCACCAGTGCCACACCATTTCAATCCACTCATTTTATCTGAGTACCATTCACAAGTCGAGCCATCCAGCTTGTAGGTTCCTGTACATTCTTGGCAGTCGTCTTGCTCCGAGCACACAGCTTCGTCTTCCGTCATTTCCTCGGCCCGTTCGCATGTGTGTACGATGTCAAGCTGTGGAAAGATGAAGACATCATAGCAGGCCAAGTCTGGAATACAAGTGTCGTGGCATTCTCCATTGCCTCCCCAGGCACATCCATAGTTCAGACATTCATTACAATCCATGTGACGGGAGCAAAACATGGGCTCACTTTCCAGGGTTCTGCTGGAAACAGCAGCATTGGCATGCTTGCTGTGAAGGGAAACTGCTGACAATAGAACAAGGATTGGACTTGTGCTGAACTTCATTTTGTGTGATTGTGTTTTGTTGTTGTTTTGTGTATAGCCTGTGTTTTTTGTTTTGTGAGCCTACGGTATCCATGGAACCTTTGATGCACCGATCCACAGCCTTGGAGATTAGCGGGACCAGTTCAGTCACAGCGGTATGTGTACCGGTACGGTACGCTCAAGTGGTCGATTCACGCTTTGTTTTGGGGGCTGCATCCCAGTTGGACGCTCCAGGATCCACAACAAGTTGTTCTCAATGGAAGCGGCCGTGGCAAGTAGGAACAAAGCAAGACATTGTTGGGGAAACTCCCAGCACGATTTCCGGGCAGCAGATGCATTCATCAGTGAAAGCATTCTACTGTATCCGCTACCACCCGATCGCTACATGTACTTACCAGGTCTACCGACTGCGCGTTTGCGTGACCCTGTGTAGTTTTCTTGGATTACCTTGGTACTCTCATGCTTTCTCAGGAGTGCATTGACGCCTTGGAGGTTCGTTCTACCTCTGCAAAGTTCTTCAGCGTCTCCATGGCCAAGGATGCCTACTCGTAGTTTGTCACCTACCCTGGGTTTCTGCAGGATGCCACCTGCAAAACCGGGCTTCTGGTTACCAAGCAACGGCGGTTAGAGTAGCATAGCCAAGTGGTCCAAGCCCTGCTCACTCTGTGGTTCCCTCCTTTGTTTCCCCAGCATTGCCCTTGCAAAGACGATCAATGAGCTCCTGGCATTGCGACGATTGTGGTGCTCTTGATGTCAACCGGTATACCGGTAGTCATTGCCCTTTCGTCCATTCTCCACCTTCATTTGACAAAACCGAAATTGCTCCTCAAGGTCTTTCGCTCTTGGCTAAGGCCCATGTTGCGTTGGTCTATAACATGCATTACAAGAAGCATCTTCCCACGAGAAAATACAATGCGAAGCAAACTGATGCCATGCCCTTTTATGGAGACGTTCAGGACATATATCTAGGAAGTTACTCAGGAAACTAATCGTTGCACTACTAGTGCTGGCGAGAAGCCACGAACACTATATTCTAGTATGTTACTTAGGAAACTAATTGTTGTACTACTAGTGCCGGCGAGAAACGACGAACACTAGCAGCTAGCAGCCATGTAGCTCCAGGTGCTGGGCCTTTCATCTGCATGGGAGGTTAACCTGGGTATACTTTGAGCAGACCTGGTTGGAATCCCCTGACCCGGACTTTATCTTAAGCAGCTGATGAGAATGCCACGGACCTTCGCCTCGTCAACCACTGCTGCTATGACTGTACTGACTTTTTTGTTTTAGCTTATCTTCTAAAGTTCTACACTATTTTGAAACTTCCACCAATCATGTAACACAAAAAGCAATGATCAAGATTGCCCTTTCGGTCTTCTTGTGTCGGCAATAGCAGCTGCCTGACCAAGAGCTCACCTGTAGCTAGCTTAGCTCACATTTTCTCCAAATTTACCAATCCTTGCGCTTGAGAGCGGGCGTGTGGTTTTCATAGGCCTGGTCAATCTCCTCAGAAGTCTTTTCGGCGGTTTCGACCTGGAAAAAGTAGACAACACCAACAGCAACGAAGATGGCGCCCGCAAAGAAAAAGAAGCAGGCTCCCAAAGAAGCAGTGGAAGCTACGGGGAAAACAGCACCAACCAAGGTGGTAAAGATCCAGTTGGACATCACACAGATACCAACAGCCTTGCCACGGGTGCGGTAGGGGAACATCTCAGGAATGACAATCCAGAGGACAGGACCCCAGCTGAAGGCAAAGCCAATAATGTAGATGGCGGCAAAGACCAGGACAGCATATCCAACGCCCTGGGTTTGTTCCACAACAGAGAGGATTCCGCAGGCAACAAGGCATGGGAACATGAGCATTCCTCCGAGAGTCAAGAGCTTGGTGCGGCCAAAGCGGTCCACAGTTGCAACAGTGATGAAGGTAGAGAGACAGTTGATGGTGTTGAGAACAAGAGTACCCATGATGGCCTGGCTTTCAGTGAAGAAAGTATTCAAGATGTCAGGGGCATAGAACATGACTGCGTTGATTCCACAAAGTTGCTGAAAGGCAAACAAGACGAATCCGAGGATGACACGACGGCGCATCAAGTTCTTGTTGGAGAAGACCTCACTCCATGGAGCCTGTCCAAGCTTTCGCTCCTCTTCAACTTCATGTTGCAGCTTTTCAACTTCCGAGTCAATTTCATCTTCAAATCGCATCTTGGAGAGTGATTCCTTGACTTGCTCCTCAGTACCATGAGCTGCTAGCCAACGAGGAGACTCGGGCATGAAAGCAAGGCATAGGATCAAAATCACAGCAAATAAGATGTTGCCTCCATAGGAGATCCTCCACCCATAGTCCAATTTGGCAAGTCCAATATTCATTGCAGATGCAAGGACAATGCCGATGGTGATGGCAAGTTGCCAAAGAGTTCCAAGGGCACCACGAATGTGCTCGGGGGCACACTCGCCAATGTATACGGGGGAACACATGCTGAGCATGCCAATGCCCATACCAGAGAAGATGCGACCAGCCCACATGACCTCCATTACAGGAGCCCACGCTTGAATGCTAGCGCCGAAGATGAACACGAGAGCCGACAAGCCAAGAGTAATCCGACGCCCAAACTGTTCCGCCAATCTCGAGTTGAGGAGAGCTCCAATGGCAGCTCCAATACCAAATAGACCATTGATGAGGCCCTTGTCGCGGTCCATGGTGCCTTGCGAAGCACCAACGCAACCGATGTCGTCGTGAGCACACTTCCAGTTGAAGTGATACTGAAAACCATCCATGACGAATGTTGCACCTGCCCCTGCGATATCAAATCCAAAAATGAGACCTCCAAGGGCCGCAACGCTTGCAATTAATATGATGAATTTCTTTGTCCTCTTGGGCGCAACAACTGGGTTAGCACCTCTCTCAATGTCAACATCAGAGAAAGTGTTTTGGGTATCATCAGGTTGTTCGCTCTTGATGCTTCCAGAGGTAGACATGTTTGCGTTTGTTGTGATTGTTGTAGACATGCTTGTGTTTGCTTTGATTATGCTTGTGTTTGTGTTTTTTGTATCTTTGTTTTGTGCGCTCTAGATGTTTGGTTTTCAGATGTGCACAGGTTGTCAGGTTGGTTGCTTGAAGAGCCCTTGAAGCTTGAAGCTGGAAATGCTGAAATGATCAACAATCCACCGAAATCATGCAAAGGGCTTGACCAGTTCAGTTTTCAGGTTTGCACATCAGGTCGCCAGGCTGGTTAACTTGTTTAAGAGCTCTTGAAGCAGGCAACGAACAGATCCACTGGCTTCCGTACGGTGGAACTAACTGTTACTGTACAACCTCTCTACCAGGTACCGGTACCTGGTACCGGTACGCTAAACCCTTTTAATCATCACCCCCCCCTTCGAAATCATTTCCCATGGGCGTTATTTACCAGCTCAGTCATAGTTTGGGTTTGGGGCCATGTTGTGACATGTATGTTGTGACAGGACGCCTGGAGGATCCCGCTGTACCCGTGCTGAATAGCTCCAGCGAACCACCACTTAGACTACTTGATCTCAATGGAAGCGCCGGTTATGAACATAGCCAGACAAGTGTTGGGCAAAATCCAGGCACGATTTCCCGGAGACCGAGGGTACCGTATCGGTAGGTGGGGAGCTGATGCATTCGGCCTTTTGCAGTGAATGCATTCTTCTATGGCATCGGCTACTAATACGCCACCAGTCGATCGCTGCTTCTTTCCAGGTCTACCGGTCGTGACAATTCTTCGCATGTTCAATTCACAGTTACACTACGGCTTACTATCTTGCCATTTTGGTGAATCTCGAAGATACGAGTACATGTATTCTTGGCAACTCATGCATCGGCGATCTTGACGACAACTTTGCCGTGTGCATGCTTCGACCCTTGCAAATGGAAGGCCTCTCGGACGCTATCATTATTGAATTCAAAGGGACCCGAAGGATCCAGAACTGGCTTGATCCTGCCTTCCACCACATCGTTCAGCATCTCCCGCAAGTCTCCATCCCGCAAATCAAGACCATCCGGCATTACATTTCTAGGAACTTTAGGGTGCAAGGTTGTCCACAACACAAGCCACAACCATTGAAAAGAAAGTGATACCAAGCCCCAGCATCCATGTAGCTCGATTTCGGATTGGACTCCAGGTGGCAAGGCGACATAGATGCCCTTGCGCTTGATGGCTGCACCTGAGCATCCGCCTTGCTCCCAGTTCTCTCCACCGACAAGATCGATTGCCACATCAAACGGGTCTGTTTGGTATTCTGGCATCTGCCACCAGTTCTGATTGCGGTAGTCAATGACACTGTCTGCACCCAAAGACTTGCACAAGTCCTCTTGGGACGAGACAGCTACGATGTGAGCGGCCCCTGCGATTTTCGCGTATTGCAGCACACTAGATCCAACGGCGCCACTGCCACCAATGACCAGCACTCGATCTCCCTTGTTGACACATTGGTCCACAATCTTCTTGGCAGCCATGGTGCTGGCGGTTAAGCCACAGGATTGAATTGGATCAATCGATTCGGGGCAATGCTCCGTCAAGCTCTCCTTGACTACCTTGTACTCTCCCAGGGCTCCCGATGGGCCTGGGAGCTCAAAGCGTGAGACGACATAATCACCTGGATTGAATTTCTTGCTGTTGGAAGAGATAACCACTCCGCTGAGGTCGCCCCCTACGACATATGGATGACCTCCTTTGGGTAGCTGGATCCAATCGGTCTTGCCCGAGAGTACACGAACGTCACCAGGTGCCAAAGCACAGGCGCTGACTTTCACCAAGATGTCGTCCTTGGCCTTCAAGGTTGGAACAGGCCAATCTTCCACCACCTGGATGTTCTTGTCAATGTCGCCAAAGCCTGTTGCGATGGCTGCCTTCATTTTCTTTGGTAAAGTAGTGGAGTCTGTCATTGTGTTTTAGTTAGTTGTTCTTTTGGTTTTGTCTCACTTTCTTGTGAGCATCTCTGGCAAGGAGCTGCTTTCTTCTGAGACGAAAACAAGACTTGACTACAATTGCCATATCCATCCATGAGAAGGGGAGGTTGTTCGTGAAAGATAGACGCGAGCAAACATAAATCCCGTCCACTGTGCGGCGGGTGGACTATGGTATTGTGGTGGTCGGGTTCGCTTCTTCCCGAAGCTTCCAAGATGCCACCGATTCAAGATATCATAGCTACATGTAGCTAGCTAGCGGTACGGATTACTCTACTCTACCGGTAGACAAGTCAAGCAAGCTTTGTTGTGGGCTTTGATGCTGGAATGTGTAAGCAGACGATGTAATTGGTGGTCGTCTCCAACCTGCAAGGCTCAATGCAAGTGGAGCTTTGATCAAAGCTACGGTATTGCTTGGAGGAATCCAACCTTCTTTCTAAGAAGTGCTTCCAGCTCTGCCGCCTTTGTTTGTCCAGACATACGGGATTCAACGGATTTATCGTACGGGCGCCCTTTCGAGCGCTCCCTCAAGGCCGGTTGGCGTTGGCATCAAAAGAAATGCTTGTCATTTCGAGAATCCCAAGCTGCATTGGAAAAGGAGCCAAAACTCATGAGATCCGATAGTAGTACCAACACTGTCACTCCTCTTGTAAAGCTTTTGTTGTATACTACTGTATTGGACTCTTTTTTCTGGCTACATTGTTGTGCCCTCGTCATCTCTCTCCAGTTCCAGCACAAGACAACACTAGTGTATTTATTATGGGCTGCAAAGCAAGCAAACCAGCCGCTGAAGAAGAGGCTCCTCCCTTGAAGAATGACGCGGACCAAAACAACAACCTTGGTTCGACGAAAAGCCATGACAGTGGCAAAGAAATGGACGTTCGTGTGAATGACAATCTCCCCTTGACGGGTGAAAAATCCGACAAACTGTACAAACTGTTGGCCAAGTCTCAAATGACGCACAACTCGGGGAATGACGAACAGCGACAAAAAGACTTGGCATTGCAACGGGAAAATTGGACCAAAGTCATGGAATGCTGTAAATTGGATCCTCGATCGGCCCTCTACCAAAATCCAACCACCAAAAGTACTCCTCTACACATGGCGGTCCGATTGATTGACAGTGAAAGTGGCAGTGCTTCCAGTGACAGCATTTCGCTGACAGACCTCATTCGAGCACTCATCAAAGCCAACCCCAAAGCACTGGCTGTCAAAGATGCCGGGGGAAATATCCCACTGCACTACGCCATTGCTCCTACCACACATTTTCAACCGGGATGGCCCATGGCACAATGGAAACTGCGATCCGATATTGTCCGATTACTGGTGCATGCCGATCCCAATACAGCGCAGGAATACATGA